TTATTTGACTGTGGCCATGAGTCTCTGGCTTCGGTTGTTTTGTTAGCATCACTGTGCCAACTCTTACTAGCCCCCTAAGGTCTGGTTGTTTTTGACTCCTGTCTGTGGTCTTATACTCTAATTAGTACCCAGCATCTCGGCAACCTCCTCAAAGCTAGAGTAGCTTCCTTCTGAGATCTCTCCCTTTTTTCTCATCCTTTTTCATACAAGTATCAGTTTTTTAAAATTTGGTTTGGGAACATTCCAGAAGTACCCTTGTCACTGCTAGTGTAGTTTGACAAGATAAAACTCCTGTTACCTACTTCCTACTTTTTAGATGAGGCTTTTTACATGTAACACATGTTGCTTTGTCAGAAGTCAGCTGGCATCCTGTAACCAGCATCAAATTCCACTCCACAGAAGTTAATGGCTTATTTGGTTGAGAACATTTGGAGCCTGCTGTCCCCCTATGATAAGGACGGACCTGCCATGCCTCAGCACCTCCCTGCCGCTTTTCATCACCATCTACCCAACTGGGACCCCACCTTTCAGAATCTGTAGCAGTGAGGCTCTAGCCACAAAGAAGGGACCAAGAGAGTTGCCCCATAAGAGTATAACCATATGCCCTTAAGACAGGGACTGTTGAGTCAGCTCATGATCTGCAGTGGGTGTCTGCTCTCCAGGCAAACAAAATCTTTACGGTCTTTGTTTTTCCAGGCGTACTTTACAGACCCTGAGATATAGTGTTGAAAAACACCAGGTCCCTACCCTCAAGAAACTCAAAGTTTCAATCAGGACATTAGCTAACATATGTGCCAGGCACTGTTATAAGTACTTTACATATACTAACATTTAGTTAAGGAGACAGAAACCATAAACAGTTACTTGCCGAGGGAACAAAGAACAACTGAAGAAAGAACAATTAATTTTACTGTTAATGGTCAGGGAGGCTTTCACAGAGGTGACATTTGAGATGGGACATTTAAGATGTCCAGAGTTCACTGGAAGAAGAAACAGGCATTGCAGAGGAACAGCAGAGCCAGTAGCCACAGAAGCTATAGCAGAGGATCAAGTCAGCATCCTACTAAGGGTGTGTAGACTGGACCGACAGTAGGTGGGGCTTTGAATGCCATGTTCAAACATTTGGACTTTATCCTGTAAAAGACCTTTATCTCCCCCTTGTCTGAGCCAAAATGATTTTTGATCAGGTCTGTATTTTAGAATAATAATTTCTGGCACCTGGTGTGAAGGATGGATTATAAAAGGGAATAGACTCAAGCTTGGGAGGCCAGTGGAGAATATTTTTTTAAAAGCCTGGATGACAGATAAAGATTGTATCTGCACACTGGTAATGGCAAAGGTGAATAAAGGGGGAACTCAAGGCAGTGGGAGAGCTGTCCAGGTTTGGGTTAAAAACAAATCTAAATGTGAAGGAGTCGAAAGATGAAAAAAAATTTCTAGCAGATTTTTCACCAAGATAGGGAGAAGGAAAGGAAGCAAAGGGTCATGAGACACTGTTTGGGTCATGAGACACTGCTAGGTAGAAACAACCAGTAGATAGTTAGAACTGCAGCTCAGGAAAAAAGGGCGAGAGGGAGACTTAGGAGTTTTGACCACATAGAGCAGGAGAGGATAGAATGGTGAGGGATACTGGCATTTAGGGGCAGGACAAGTAGTTGAAGAGGGGCATTTAGAGGGAAGAGAAAAAGCCAAGCTCAGTAACTTAAGAATGAACTGGTGTGAGTAAGCTAGCTAGCTACAGAGGTGAAGTGGGATGAGGGCTGGATGAACAAGGAAAGCTGCAGTAAGTTATTAGGTCTTTCTACCCATCTTAGATTTACTTCAGAAGAGGGATGCTGGTGTGATAACAAGCTGGAAAACAGGCATCTGCTGACAAGGGAAAGCCAGTGGGGCAGTGGAGTGACAATACCTCACTTATTTGCCTTTTTATCTGCTTGTGTCCCTTTCACTCAGAGCCCCGAAGCCAGGATAGGAGACGGCGGCAGCAGCCAATGACCCATCGCCCTACTTCAAGCAGCCTGGCCCCATCCCCAACTCCTGCTAGTTCTAACCTAGCCTCTTCACACATGGGCTCCTGCCTACTGCCCAACTCACTCAGCATATCAGGTCTGTACTCACTGCCTCTGAAATCTGGGTTGGTCAACCCCCTTCCTTCCCTACCTCCCAGGGTGTAGGCCAGAGTCCTGACTAGTCTTGAGGAAACCCCTCCAGCTCTGCTGCCATGTGACCTGCACCTCCTTCTGACTTCATGTTAATGCAGGCCACTGCAGACCAGGGCCATCAGTTATCCTCCTGGATTATCCTAAATCCCTAAACTAACATCAGTGCCCTTGTATAGGAAGCTGGAATTTTATGAATGTATAATAAAATAAGTTACCACTTACTGAGCATTTACTATGTGGCAGGCATTGCTCTAAGCACATTATCTTATTTAATCTTATTTTTACAGTTGAGGACCCTGAGGACTTTTCCTACCTGCTTTTATTCATACTCCCTGACTCCAGGAGCTGGGCAACATTAGACAAAACTGAAGAATGAAAACAGTATAGGCCTTTTCACCCGTCATCACCACACATGTTATGGGATCGTGTCATTCACATAGAGAGCCTAGACCATCTGCTTTCCTTTTAAGTTCTAGACCCAGCCATGTAACAAGACTGGATGGGAATGATTTCTAAGGCTCCAGTCTGACATCTTCTGCCTCCCCTAGGGCCTGCTACTCCCAACCTGTTAACTCTCTTCGGTGGGTAGTCCTGAATCCACCGGTCTTGGTGCTGCTTGATCCTTAAATGCTTACACACACAACTGGGATAACACTAACAAATTCAAAGCAGTTCAGCTTGAGTGGGTTCTAAGTCAAGCTCCAAGTTGCCATTCCACCCCTTGGACCAGACTAGAGCATGTGGTGCTTCTGACAAGGGGCAGTTTTGCACGACAGTGGACATTTGCCAATGTCTGGAGAAATTTTTGGTTGTTACAGTGAGGAGGAGGCAGGAGAAGAAATGCTATCTGCTGAGTCGAGGCCAGAGATGCTGCTAAACATCCTGAAACACACAAGGCAGCCCCCCACAACAAAGAATAATCCTGTCCAAAATGTCAACAGTGCCAGTATTGAGAAACCCAGATGGAAAGAAAGTTACCTCTTCTCCATGGCCCCGTCCTGATCCCAGTTTCCTTTGTTCCCTAGGGAGCAGCTGCTCATTCCTGTCTTCAGGAGACAAGACAGAGGCCGTCATGGTGATTGGGAAAGGTCTGCTGGGGGCTGGACCTCGGATCCCCTGCATTAGGACCCGACTGCAGGTAACATTTTGGGGTCTTCCCCAGCCCCCAGCTAACAACTCTTGGCAGATCCCAGCAAGGCGCTGTTCACCTGGGGAGCGGGAGGGAAAATGCCCAGCACTGCTTTACATCCTTGCCCCACAGCCATAGCAGGGAGCTGCTCTGATGCCTGAATGCCTGTCTGTCAAGTGCCCCCCGTCCCCTTTAGCCAGGTCTCTTGCTTGCTTCCAATCCCAGCATCCCTGCCAGATATACCCTCACCTCAGCCTGCTAGCTTTGGCTTTGCCTGCCCCTGCCCTTAGCTTCTCCTCTCTTTCTGCCCAGACCTGCCCGAGGAGACTTCCCGCCAGGAGGGGTCCCGGATTCCCCAGGTAACACATCTGGTTGCTGCTCCTAGGACCAGCTGTGCCACCCACTCCGATTCAGTCCAGATCCCCATACTAGGCTGACTGAAGTTGGGTATAGGCAGAAACTGCCTGGATGGGTGAAGCTTAAGCTGCTCTGGCAGGGGCTGAGGCAATGAAGGCTCTGAAGTAGACCTATTAATACTCCAACATCTTCCCACATCGTGCTTTTCTACTCCTCCAGATCTTGGCTGTGGTATAGCCATGAAAGTTAAATGCTGGGTCCTTTGGCCTCCCCTAGTTAAGTAAAGCTTGGACTGTATAATCATAGACTGAACCAGAGTTATTTAGCTATTATCCTGCCTGACCCTCTCAGCTAGGCATAGTGCCCAAGAACTCAAGGTCCTGGTACCCATGCTGACCCCTATACTACACTCATACACGTGAAAACTAGAAGGAAACCTAAAAGCAAAAACGTCCATGGAAGAATCCAGCCTCTTAGCCTCCCCCTGTCCACACAGGCTAGGCCCAGGTTGGCCCAGGGCTCACCACCGACTCGCAGAGGGATGAGAGGCTCTTCGGGCCCCACATCCCCTATCCCCCAGACCAAGGAGAGCAGTGAGCCGGAGCTGGGACCCCGCTGCACACCACGGTGAGCACCAGTGTCCAGCCCCTCATTCCACCTCTTATTCCCGTTTCTGCCATTCAGGACCATTTTCTTCCTCCCTTTCTCCCTTTGACCCCCTAAAGACTAAATGTACCTCCAATAACAATCCAGTCGCTGACTTTTTTTCCATCACGCTCTCAGTCTTCACTCCAGCAGATAAGAGAACAACTTCCAGTCAGGGCCTCAGGCACTCCTGTCAGACCACTGTGCAGTGCTCAACCTACGTAGCCTCCCCCATCTTGTCTGTCTCCTGTCCCAGCCCCTGGCTAAAAGACCAGAAGAAAGGCAGAGTTTTCAACCCTGATTCCTCTCTTTTCTCTGTTGCAGGCTGCCTCAGGCCAGGCCCCCACGGCCCCGCTCCGCCCCCGCCTTTTCTCCTATTTCCTGTAGTCTGTCTGACTCCCAGTCTCGGATTTGTTATAGTGGGGGGCCCTTGGGCCAAACCGAGGTTTGTTTTGTCCCTAAATCTCCCCCATTCACTGTTTCTCCCCGGGTCTGATGCCTTGACCTTCAAGCCCAGGGCATGACCCCACAATGGGGAACACAGTGACAAATGTGCTAGTTCCCCTTTTCAGCTGCTGATTCCATGTGACAACTCTATGTAACTTCTTAGAACACCCACCACACTGTTCTGAGACATTACAAAGCATTACCTTGAGACAGGACAGAGCAGGGACCTGCCACCCCTTCCCTCCCTCCACAGCACAAGATTTTGGGACCACAAAAAAATATATATTTTTTTATATTGGGGGGAGGGAGTAGAAAACAAAGTAGCCCCTATACTGGGCCCTATTCAGTGGCAGCTTCTTGTTCCATAGGGTTAAGGAAGACTTTGAGGAAATAAAAGTTGTTTGGAAAAATCCAGGTGTAGTTGCTTTGTATGTTGTGATGGGTAGAAGGGATGAAGTGAAGTGTGAAGGCCCCTCACACCCTCCATCTTGCCTCAGACTATGTCCTGGAACCCTAGAAAAGAGGGGGAAAGACCCGAGGTAAGGAAAATGCTGCAGCTTTCCTCTGGGGCTATCCTTTAGAATCAACTCCCATCCAGCCTGTTCCCCCCCCTTACAGTTTTCACCCACTGTTACAGGTTGGTTTACAAGCCCTTCAAACAACCTCCCCCCATCCCACTCTTATCTATGTCTTAGGTCTATAGCAGCCACCCCCAACATAAGCGCCCTGTGCCCCTGAAATAGAATTCTCTATTTCTACAACCCCTCACAAAAAGAATTATGCCTAAATAAAGACCTAACAACCGTGGAAAAGTAAGGACTATTTTAAGTGAAGAGCCCAAATCCTCATACTTGGATGGCATCGTCATTACCTTTATTCCTTAGGGTGTCAGTACCTCCTCGCACCCATACTATCAATTTGGAAATCGGCAACCACATGAATATGGCGACTGAGTTGACAGTACCCACCCCGTTCTGGCAGGGAGCAGTTTAAGGGGGAAGCGGGTAGGGCACGCGCTACTTTGTGTGGATAAAGGGGCCCAGTTCTGGACTGTATCATGCTTGGCCCAACACGTTCCGATTTGAAGTCTCGAACCCTGTAGGCCCTGGCGCGGCCTTCCCGCTCACTCTCCAGAGGCTACGCGCTACAGCCCCCGACCGTTACCTGGGGCAGAGAAACCGCCACTTTCATTCCTGCTTCTTGGGATTGTTGACGGCCACGTAGTGATAGAGAACGACAAGCAGGAAGAGCGACACGCCCAGCATGTTGGCGAAGATGGCGAGCTGCACGTCCGTGATCATGCTGAGGAGAAGAGGAGCGCCTGAGCCGCGGACCAGGGCACTCCTCGCCCAAACCAGGACCCGTCCTTGCCCCCCCCCCCCCCCCCCCCCGGTCCAGTCACCGCCTATGGGTCGGGGATCGCGCCTGCGTACCTCTTACCTGATCAGCTGGGCTCGGTTCCGACGCGGTCTGGGGTCTATCTTGAGGTAGGAAACCTGAGCCGGAAGTTTGCCGCTCCAATTCGGCTCCAAACCAGGGATTTCCGGTTGTGAGGCTCGGCCGGTAAGGGCTCTCTAGCCTCAGCTTCTCGCCTGCTCCCGCGTCGCGCTCGCGAGGGGCGGGGTCTTGGGTCGGGCCGAAGAGGGAGGGGCTGCCGTGTGGGTCGCGGGGCGGACGCGCGCTCTGGACGCCGCGCGGGGCAGCTGACTGCAGCTGGCGCTTCCCCGAACGCGGTTAGTGGCCCTAGGGCAACCTCGCTGGAGCTAAGGAGTGGGCTAGAGTGAGGGTGCGGCGGCGGGGCCGGGCGAGGAGCTCGGCCTGAGCCTAGACGGTGCCCCCCCACTCTCTTGTCCCGGGCCCCCGCGCTGCAGCCCATCCTTCGCTTCCCGGCCCGGCCAGGTGCTTCCTTTGCGCCCTGCCCTCAGGGTCCCCTCCCTGTCCCGGGCGGCGGAGAGAGGGATGAGAGGCGGTGTAGAATGGGGACTGGAGTGGGGCGGCCGGGTCCCTCTCCCTGGCGCGCCAGCATTTCTGCCCCACAAGCGCCAAATAGAACGATCCCGCCTGTGATCTGACCGGTGCCTCCCTTAGTGGGACTCCCTCCCTCCATCCCACCCCAAGAGGTGGGCGTCGGAAATAGGGCGGACCCTCCTGGAATCAAAACCCAAACCGTGGGACTTGGGCCAAGTGGGAAATCACCCCCCGGATGTCAGGGAGGGGGGAAAGGAGGAAGGGCTGGCTGGGAGCGGCAAAGGGGGTCGTGTGGGTGGTAAGCAGAGTGGGCCTCCCAGGAGAAAAAAAGATGACAGTGGGTAGATGTCCGAGGGTCTCTCGTGAGGGGAGAGGCAGGCCGGGGCTTTACAACCCTCTGCCCAGCCCAAACCTACTCCCCCTCACTTCTTGCTTTCCCTCAGCTTCACCATAAAAGGGAACGGCACTAAGCCAGGCTGGGGCCGGGGGCTGGGCTGTTGCTCTGGAGCTGTCAGGGGTAATGGAAGCCAGTTGCTTTGCGGTAGAGGGGGGCCAGGGCTCAGGGGACGCCTCTGGTTCTCTGAGCCAAAGAAAACTACAGGAGCTGCTATGGGGCTGGAACAGCTGGGTGAGGGGGCTGACTCGCTCCCTGTGTGCACAACGAGCTAAGGGTGCACTCACTAGCCGGGAGTGGGCTTCCCTGACTTGGGACCATCAGCAGTTTGTCTTCCATGGTCCAGCCCAGTGACTCCTAAACTCCGTCTCTGCCTTTAGCAATCTGTAGTTCCCCGGCCTCCCCTACCTCATCACCCAGCCCCCACCCAGTATTTCCCAGAAGTTTCCTATTTAGAATCCCAAGCCCATGTTCCCTGCACATAACAAAGTGAAACCCCAGCCGTGTACTCACTCCCTCACGTGTCCCTCAGTGAGCAGTCTGTTCCGATCTCTGCTCTGGGAGAATGAGGGTCTGGGTCTTAAGGGATTACACACGTTATGCTTTGCATCTCCTGGAAATTTAAAGCAGATCCAAGTGCAGCCAAACATTTAGATCTACTGTTGAAACAGAACTAGATCCTAGAAAGTACACTTTCTAGACTGTAAAGAACATGAGGGAAGACCTTGGAAGTGCTTCAGCTTCTCAAGGCTGTCCTAAAAAACCAGCTGACCCGGGTGAAAAGTAAACTAGACTCTCAGAGCTGAAGGGGGCCTTCAAGGTCATTTTATGAGGCAGGAAACTGAAGCCCAGAAGGTAATTGATTTGACCAGATTTCTACAAATGGCTAAAGAAGTGTCCCTTGATTCCTGCTGCTCTGTTCCATACTCCCTGTCAGGTAGCAGACTCAGTAGATTGGCCTAGGGTCAGGGACAAGCGAAATAGGATTTGTTTTTTAGAATCATCCAGAAATGTCCTTCACCTCCCAGAACTTCCTGTGCCTAGTTCAGCGAGTCTTAATCAGCCTTGGATGGGTCAGTTGGCTTAGTGCCTGGATGAACTTTTTAACCAAGTTAAAAATGGTCTCCAGGGACTTCCCTGGTGGTCCAGTGGTTAAGAATCTGCCTGCCAGTGTAGGGGACACAGGTTCAATCCCTGGTCTGGTAAGATTTAGCATGCTGCAGGGCAACTAAACCTGCGTGCTGCAGTTACTGAGCTTGTGTACTGCAACTACTGAAGCCCACACACCTAGAACCCATGCTCCGTAACCTTAAGAAGCCACCACCACGAGAAACCCTCACACCACAATAAAGAGTAGCCTCTGCTCACCGCAACTAGAGAAAGCCCGAGTGCAACAACAAAGATCCAATGCAGCCAAAAATACATACATAAAATAGGAATGGTTTCGAGGACTAAGCTGTGCATGCATGCTAAGCCACTTTAGTCGTGTCCAACTCTTTGAGAGGCTATGGACAGTAGCCCGCCAGGCTCCTCTGTCCATGGGATTCTCCAGGCAAGAATACTGGAGTGGGTTGCCATGCCCTCCTCCAGGAGATCTTCTCGACCGAGGGATCAAACCCACATCTATTTTGTCTCCTGCATAGGCGGGTTCTCTACCGCTAGCACCACCCGGGAAGCCCAGGACTAAGCTAGGAACTAACAAATTTTGAAAAAATCTTAGGTGAAAAAGCATGAGGGAACTGAGTCAGGTGAAGCCTTGTCCTGGGGGGAATCAGGGGAGAGAGATGATAGGGGGACAAAGAGTGGGGAAATGTGGAGCTAGGTCTCTGTGATTAATGTGACATTTTCAAGAAGTCATGGTCAGGATTAGGCTCAGGAGTGAAAAAGCAACAAGACCTGGAAAAGAGGACTGGGTTCTGAGTCCAAGGAGGTTGGCTCCTAAATATGACACCTGTGGGAAGTGTTGGAAGGAAAAGGTAAATGTGTGTAATTGTGCCGGAGTGGACCTTTGCCTAAGAGTCCCCACAAGCTGGAATTCCTCTCTGGATTTGTATGACCCAAGGCCCAGTTCATATTATTCCCCCTTTTTTCCTCCCACCATTCAGTCTTTGGACAGAGGGCGGGTAGCCATAAAATGCTCCTTACTGCCCATGCCCCTGTTTGTCCTGGCCCTGATGTAGGAGCTCACCGCTGTCAGTGATGGTTGACTGAATGAGTTAGTCCCCTGCTGTAGCCAAGATTTCCCATTGGCACTAGACCTTTGGCAATTTCCTATCTTGGAGTGGTTATAAAATAGACCTTGTCCTACTGCCCCAGGGACGCTTAGCCTTTTTTGGTCTCAAGAATTCTCTTGCCAGTCTCTGGAAATTTATGGCTGCCTATCAATACCACCACTGCCGCCACTGCCTTCCCTGAAAACTTAGTCTCCGGTGCAGCCGGCTTGTCCCACCCCTCAGGCCTCCCCAGTGAACCCAGGAATTGTCCCCCTGCTCCCCCGGCAGTGAACCCAGAGCCACTGATTTCTTTGCGATCTCATAAACATTCATGTCAGTCCCTAGATTTTGGCTCCTAATTACAGGACTAAACAAAATGCAACCTACTGCCATTATATCTCAAAGCTAGCATTTTTAACTTGACACACTTAAGATAAAACAGATTTTTTTATTTTTTATTTTATTTTTTAATTTTTTTTTTTTTACAACAGATTTTTTTAACTTGAGGGGTCAGGCAAAGGCATGGGTGACAACTGGGTAGTAACAAGATGGCTGGGATGACTTCAGGTTGCCAGAGGCTGCTGAAGGGGAAGCAAGCTGGCTTCCTACCAGGGCCAGAGCCAGGGCCTAGAACTTATGCGGAGACCAGGGACAAAGCCGCAGCCTTCCAGTGAAAGTGACTTTGAAATCAGGACCTTCTGAGAGATCATTTCCTTCAAGTCTCCCTAGGTTTGGGCCGCTCACCTCTCAGGAACAGCCACAGATTTCCATTTCCAGTGGTTCCAATGTTTGCTTTCACCATCATGTCTTTTTGGCAACATTTCTGCCAGTCATCAGGATCGTATTCTGGGCCATAGGACCCCAGGGGTGCATCATTCAGAGTCACATTGACATGGTGGCACCCATTCTCATGTGTGTGTTAAGTCGCGTCCGTCGTGTCCAACTTTTTGCAACTTCTTGGACTGTAACGCACCAGGCTCCTCTGTCCATGACATTCTCCAGGCAAGAATATTGGAGGTTTCCATGCCCTCCTCTAGGGGATCTTCCCCACCCAGGGATCGAACCGTGTCTCTTATGTCTCTTGCATTGGCAGATGGGTTTTTTACCATCAGCACCACCTGGGAAGCCCTACCCATTCTCATAGTTTCCAACTATTGCCCTGCAAATGATTCTCAGAATCAAGACCCACTTTGCTAACCATCTCCTTTGGATGTTTATTTCCATCAAGATAAGTTGTTGTTGTTCAGTTGCCCAGTCATGTCCGATTCTTTGCGACCCCATGGACTGCAGCATGCCAGGCCTCCCTGTCCCTCACCCCTGGAGTTTGCTCAAGTTCATGTTCATTGCATTGGTGATGCTGTCCAGCCATCTCATCCTCTGAAGGCCTCCTCCCCTTCTGCCCTTGATCTTTCCCAGCATCAGGGACTTTTCCAATGAGTTGTCTGTTCACATCAGATGACCAAAATACTGGAGCTTCAGCTTCAGCATTAGTCTTTCCATTGACTATTCAGGGTTGATCTCCCTTAAGATTGACTGGTTTGATCTCCTTGCTATCCAAGGTACTTTCAGGAGTCTTCAGCACCACAGTTCAAAGGCATCAATTCTTTGGTGTTCTGCCTTCATTACAGTCCAGCTCTCACAACCATACATGACCACTGGGAAGTTAATAGCCTGGTTACTCTCCTCTTAAACTTGGAATGCCCAAACTAAGATCATCTTTCTTCCCTTCAAACCAGCTCCTCTTCTCAACTTTCCCATCCTGGCTCAAACCCTGGAATCTTCTCCCTTCATCTGGCCCCTCATTCCCCAGGCACTCACCAAGCAGCCACAACCTGCTCTCCCAGGCTGGCATCACTTTGCAACGTAGAATTTGGAAGGGACCTGAGATGACAGACAGACAGCAGATCCCCAGTGGAGTCAGGGGATTCATTCAAAGTGATAACACTACTTAGAGGAGAAGCCGGAACCAGCATTCTTGTGCTCTAACACCCGGTCCATTGCTCTTGCTGAGAATATCTTCTTTC